TCTGCCTTCCGCTACCCCTCTTAGCAAATGCAATACACGGCTTAGCCTTATTCGCGGACTCGATCCTAGATAGGTTGAGTTTGACTCATGACTGAGTCTCGTGAATAGTCATGAATCAGGTCCATGACCGCTAGTCATACTAGTCCGATTTTATATATATGTGGAGAGGATTTCCAACGCTACTAGATAAATGCGAGACGAATCTTCCACGCGTTTCCGTTTTTGGATCGTGAGTGAGTAGGATCGCTACCGCAACCTACTCTATCACACTCTACCAGTCTTCCGCGGGATGTCAGATCTACGATCCCTCGATGGTGGATCTCTCACGTTGATTAGTTTTCATAGCTTTCTAATCTCTCATAACTTTCATTCTCTCCAAACTTCAAAACACTCGAAAAGATCTTTACACTAGCCTTTTGCGTAGTGCTTCCGTTGGTCGTGTATTCGTCATAAGGATCCAATGTGAGGCAACCGACTGCAGCGAGCAAAATCGAACCTGCATGCGTGCTCGGTACTGTTGTCACTGTTACTGATCGATGAACTCTATCGTAGCTGGCTACGATGGCCGGATTGACAATGTTCGTTGTGCATGTATTTGTCATATGGATCCAATGAGAGGTGGTACGAACGGAGTGTTAGCAGTTAAAAGCGGAACCTGTGTCGTGCGGTGACTGTTGCCACTGTCACGGATCGATGTAACTCACTGCCTACGGTACCGTAGATGGCTACAATGGCTGAATTAACAATATTCGGTTGTGCATGTATTTGCCATAAGGATCCAATGCAAAATACCAGCAACGGAGTGTATCCAGCAAAGCGTAACCTGAGTGTTTTCTGTACTGTTGCCACTGTGGTTGATGTAGCTATACGGTAGCTTGCTACATTGGCTGGATTAACAATGTTAGGTTTTGTGCATGTATTCGTAAAAAGGATCCAATGCGAGATAGCAACAACCTCATAAGCGAGTGCTGAGCGAAAAAGTCGAACCTTGCGTGTGTTCGCGGTTACTGTTCGCCACTGTCAAATACTAACTCACACTCTACGACTAGGCTGGGCTACGATGGCTGGATTCAAAATGTTCGGTTGTGCATATGTATTGGTCATAGACGGCCCATCCAAGTGCTATAGGTACCTGTAACGGAGTGTAGACAGAAAAGCGGAACCTGTGTGTTCTGTACTGTTCCCACTGTTTCCTCGTGGTGAACTCCGCAGCTACCACTACACATTTTGCGTCAACACTGAGGTCAGTAATGAGCATCATTGTGCGTGGCACATAAAAGATATGAGCGCTAGTCGGAATTCGTTGTGACATTCCTTTATGCTCGTCATCTACACGAAAAAAAAAGCCAATGCGAGTTACTGGTAACCGTAGCGAGCAAAAGCCGAACTTTCGGTACTGTTGCAAGCGTGGTCGTCAATGATAGCTAGACCAAAGCAGGCGCTGGCTGCGTACAATGGACAGTGCCAGACTCATGAAACCTGGATCCTCGGTGGTGTTGCATTATGCGTCATCAGGGCAATCGCGAGATGCTATATAGATACCGGCAACTGAGTTTAGCCAGCAAAGCAGAACCTGAGCGTGTTCGGTACTGTTGACACTGTCGCCGATTTAACTGTACGGTAGCCGGCTACAATGCCTGCGATTAACCATATTCGGTTTTGTGCGCCTTGTTATTCGTCAGAAAGGATCCAATGCCGAAGGTAAAGGCGACTGCAGTGAGGCAAAGTCGAAACCTGAGTCGTGTTCAAAAAGGATGACTGTTGCCACTGTCAATGATCGATGCACTCTACGATAGCTAGCTATGAGGATGGCTGGAGATTTGAGAATATTCTGTTTTGCATGTATTTGTCATAAGAATCCAATGCAACTTTGGGAGGTAGGTTACCGGCAAACGGAAAGTGTAGTCAGGCAAAAGCGGAACCGGTGGAGCGGAATCAGTGGACCACATATGGTGTGTCCCAAAAAATGGGAGGCGTAGCCACGGGATCTCCGGTACTGTTGACACTGGTGCGCCGAAGTTTGTAACGGCTACGGTAGCCGGTACAATGGCTGATTAAGCCAATATTCACGTGCTTTTGTGGCTGTATTCGTCATAAGGATACATTGTGAGGTAACGGAGTGTAGTGGGCAAAGCCGAACCTGAGCGCAGTGTGTTCGGTACTGTTGCCAACGTGGGCCAGCGATCGATGAACTCTACGATAGCTAGCTACTCGGAGGCCACGAAGAATAGAGAATTAATTCGGTTGTGCGTTTATTTGTCATAAGGATCCCATGCAAGATACCGGCAGAATGGTGTGTAGCCAGCAAAGCTGAACCTGAGTGAGTTCACCGGATGTATGTGACACTGTCGGCCGATTGTAACTGTAGGGTAGCGCTACCCAATGGCTGGTCCGTGAATACAATCAGATATTCCCTTTTGTGCTTGCGATCATGTATTCGTCATACAGGATCCCGAGATGCGCGAAAGAGATTTATGGTAACGCGGAGTTTGCAGCGAGCAAAAGTTACGACCTGCGTCGGTTCTCAGGTTAACTGTGTTTGACGATCTGTCACTGATCGCAATGGACATACTTCTCGCCACAGAAAAAAGGGCTGGCTACTTATGGCTGGAATTGGTGACAATGTTTGGGTTGGTGGCAATGTGATTTGTCGATAATGATCCAAGTGCAATGTACCTCGGTAACCGAGTAGTGACGCCAGGAAATAGCGGAACTGTCGTGTTCAGGTACTGGTTGCCCACTGTACGGATCTCTATTCGTCCACACTCATACGTGAGTAACTGGCTACAATGGGCTGGATGAGAATATTCGGTTTGTCATGTATTCGTCATAAGGATCCATAGTAGCAGCAAAAACTTGAGGAAACAGGAGGAGCGAACGCGCTGAAAAAAGAAGCCGGAAGATGCTATTTCCTATTTCCTATCCAGTGAAGCCAAAGTATAAGGAAAGAAATAGTCATAAGCCAACAAAAACTGAAAATCAAAGGATCAATAAAAGTTAGGGGTAAGAATAAATAATTAATATTAAAGGTTAGTGCAATAATCACAACAGAACAATAAGCCCGCAGAGCTGTATAGCTTCCGTGCTTGTCCACCACTTAGAGTTCTACAATAGGGAATGGCAGTGGTGTGGTAAATTATAGAGTAGTGGGCGGCAACACACGACGTAGTCGGGTGTTGTCGCCAGGCAGGTAAACTGCCTGAGTTCTCAACCCCTTTAATGCTATTTCCTATTTCCTATTCCGGTGAAGCCAAAGTATAAGGATAGAGATAGTTATAAGCCAACAAAACTGAACATTGATGGTTCAATACAAGTTAGGGGTAGGAATAAATCATTAATATTTAAGGTTAGTGCAATCAGCACAACAGCACAATAAGCCAGCAGGAGCTGTAAAGGTTAGAGTTACAATAAGGGAATGGCAGCTGGTAAATTATAGAGTAGTGGGCGGCAATACACGACGTAGTCGGGTGTTGTCGCCAGGGCTAGCTTAATAAAAAGAAGGTTGCAATGAGGGAATGAATGATACCGGGCGGCAACACACAACGTAGTCGGGTGTTGTCGCCAGGGCTAGCTTGAAAGATGGGTGTAATCCGAACATAATCCTCCTTCTTCTATCTGTCTTTCTGCCGAGGTATCGCAGCTCCCGCTGACTTAGTTTTTCTTCTACACAACTATGAATGACTTCTTGGATGGACTCGAGCAGCCACCAGATCTGAAAGCAAAAAGGGTCTGTTGTGGCTGCAAGAAAGAAGAGCCAGACAACAAGCAATTTAAGTTACAATGTAGCCAGTGCAAAGAGGAAGGCTTTGTTCCAGCTCTATTTTGCTCCAAAAAGTGCAACAAGAAAGCCTGGCCAATACACAAAGAATGGCATGAAACTAAGGAACGAGCAACCAGGGATGTTGATGCTGAACCAAGTGAGTTCTGAATATTATTCATTGGTTGTGGCTGGAATACGAAAGATGGATTCTGGTGACTTCGCAGGTGCCAAGAAGCAGCTGCGTAAAGCACAAAAGCTTGATACAAGACGGCCAGAAGCATTTTTATTCCTTGCCCACTGCTTTGGTACATCTGGAATGGAGCAGGAATGCGTCTCAAACATGCAAGAATCAATCAAGCGTTGCGCCTTGGTTGTATTGGCGGGGAATTTCAACAATGGTTTTGTAGTGGAGATGAAGAGTATGTGGGCTTGGTCTCGCTGTGTCCATGATCTCTGCAGACATTATGCAGGTGTCCAAAGAAAAGAGTCAGAAGTACCAATTTGGTTCCGCAAGATGACATGCTAATTCGAGTCACAAAGGCGGCACAAGAATCACTCAAGCAGAGAGAAGATACACATCCTCGTATCATCAGCGATATGACATGTATTCGAGCACAGGTTCTCTCTGGTTTCCGCCATAATGGAGTTTACAATTTAGAGGAGGTTGAAACTGTGGTAAACCACCGCACACCTCAACAGCTGCTTCCAGCAGCCATGCTCTTGAGGAGTCTTTCGATAGATGGACCAGATGCTAGTCTCCCCGATTCCTTGGTGACAATGTCTGAAGACCAGTCCCGTGATCCTCAGTCAATACGCAAATCCTTTGAATCACAAGCTGCAGCGCTGGAGTTTATAGCAGGAGTTCAGGACAGCTTAAGCAAAGCACACTAAACAACGACAATGAACTACTGGTCATCAGAGCTCATACCTGGGTAATCCTCCGTGACCTCACCAGCCCTTCTGGCTCTGCAATGAATGGGAAGTTGGGCCTTGTCGGTGACGATGGTTTGCAACATGGTCGACATCTTGTGACGGTGGATGGATATGAGGGAATCAAGTGCATTAAACCTGAAAACTTGGTGGAGATTTCACTTGAAGAGTACTGTGAGGCTCTGATTTTCACTTTGGAGGAAGAAATGCAATGGAGGTTGATGAGGAATTTGGTGGAGCTTGAAAGCACAACCTAAACAAGAGGAGCCAAACCTGGAAAAGAAAGGAGCACCATGGTCAAAATGTTGAGTCTAGTAAAGAGAGTGATGGCAACTGTCCGTTGATGGCTAGGACAAAGATTTTTCTACCGGTTGATAGCTAGCTAGTTGCAAACTTTAGCACTGGTATAGCTATAGACATAGTTGTCATTGTCATTCCATGAGTGTTTCTGAGGATTGACCAGCATCTCAGATACAGAGGTTGGCCCTGGAATGGGAAGACCCATGATGGACACCATGCAGGATCCAATGTATGCGTACTGTATATCATTGGACCGGTGGCTGTCATGATAATATATACATCGAAACGTTGTCCAAAAGGTTCCTTCTGTCCGGTTCGGTTGTCGGGTGGACTGATTCTGATTTCTTTGTTGAGTCCGAGTTACTTCTTCCTGGCATGCATGCATGCTTTCGCGGCGATAGTTTCGTGGAGCGCTTCCTCTCCTACCTGGTACCTAGCTAGCATACAAACCAACTCTTCTCTAATCCCCTCGTATGGAATACGTATGCAAGTTTTTCACAGCCAAGTTCCACAACTTGCCCCGATACGTCCAATCCGCCCTTATGGTGGCATCCGACGGTGCCCACTTTTGTTTGTTGGCGCTAGCGCTAAGTGTAACATCCAACCCCGGCATGGCATAATTGTTGCGCCCCGCATTGGCCCAGCTCCGAATGGGTTCTGGATAGGCATCGGATCCGTATAGGAAATTGGCGACGAGACTCATGAACACGTCGTCGGCCCAATTCCATTTCAGATTCTGCGCGTCAGGAGGAAGAAGAATGGAGGATGATTCTTGTTGGTCGTCTGCATCAACTGTACTTGTATGAGCATGATACTGATTGTCGAGTACGTGACTTCGCAAGTGAAAATTGTGACACAGTTCCTTTTCCATCAAGGCGAGTGATCCCAAAATGACTTCGGTGGGGCCGTTTGTCGGAGTGGATGTGTAACCGTGCGTCAACATGCCCCAAAAGGAGCTGTGAGACCGTCCTTGCAAACCGACAATGCGATAGGGATTGGTTTTGTATTCTCGAAATAGTTGGTCCAATGCGGAATTGCCTATTCGTTGTATACTGTGGGCATCCATCACGAGCACATAGGGATGATGGGACTTGTATCCAGCCACCCAAAACCGAGTACTGGTTCCCATGCGTTGCAATTGCACTGGCTTGGGATGGAAGACTTCCACTTTGGGATTCTCGTGGGTCATGTACGACGGGCTGCTTCTATTGGTTGTCGTTGTTGTTGTTGTTGTTGTGTCGTCAATGGGTAGAAGAATCACTTGCTGGATTTCCTCGCGGTCCAGAAGCGTCGGTAACAGACGGTCCAAATTCTTTTTTTGACTAATACTTGTGGCAGTGCCATGCAATACAAGGACGGCCGTCACGTTCAGGACGTCAATCGCTTTAATTTCCGAACCCGTCGCAATCGTGGTCGGAGCCGTCTCCCACCCTAACGTCCATACACACACCACGGCAAATGCCACTGCAATCCAACCATGGGTCGAACGAGAAATTTCTCGGCGTCTCGCGTTGGGCACTATTAGAGATTGTGGTTCTTCTTGGTCCAAAGACGTCTGGTGGCTGCTACCGGTAGTAGAAGGAGTGGATCGTCTCATTCTTCTTACTTTTTCAATAAATTGTCAGTCCTTCTTCTTCGGCAACTCATGTACACACACTGTCTCCGATTGCTGGTCCAATACCAAGGTATTCCAACATAGAGGTTGCCGCTCCAAAGATCCCAAAGTGAGAAAAGATTTTCGGTTCCGCGCAAGATGAAGCCAGCGAGATCTGGTAAAAATGCTGACTCCCAATCGATCCTTGCTGCACTTACAGCTCGGGTCTAGCTAGCTAGCTAGCCGGCCAGCTACTAGGCAAGAAGGGGCCGAGAGAACTGTGGCATTGGTGGGTTTCACAAACAGAGCGGCATGTTGGTCAACCAAAACGGAGAGATGCACATCAAAGTAACTCGCTCGTCTCAATGACCATAAAAGCAATAGTAGGTTCAAATTCAGTTTTCCCAAATTCTTCTGCGTCTTCCTGTTCGTTCACGAAAAGGTGCGTACAAGAGGCGCTGCTCCAAGCCAGCAGCTATCATCTGTAGCTATTAATACCGTACCGTACACGTGTACTGTACCGAGCTACGGTAGCTACAGACCGTCTGCTCCAAAGTGCTAGTAGCTCGGCTAGCACATAAGTCAGGGCACGCTCAAGCAAGCAAGCAAGCATCACGGACACAACAGGTCCAACAATAATCCACGGGAAACCAACCAGAACTTATTTTAAAACATTTTTATACAATACAATTTACTCAACGAACGTGAATGTTGACATTGTTGTCGCCAGACCTGGCGGGCAAGACCAGCCATTCAATCATGCACACAAGTTTCAAACTGCCCATTGCTTGCTTCACTTGTGGACCAACTAACCACTACCATACCACAGAGGCAAGTCCCAAAT